TTAAAAAAAGTGATAATGATATTATTTAGATATCTACAAGAGAGCTAAAGAACGTGCAACAATGCTACCGGGCAAATAATTCTATAATTTTGGCTTTTGTGTAGGGTTATTTTTTTGGCAACATTTTTAAAATCACTTGCTTGGAATCAGAATCAGAATCTTTATTGTCAATGGAACAAGTACAATGAAATTAAGTGCAGTGTCAAAAATAAAGAATAATAAAAATGAGGTAGAACACAGTCATTCAGGTGGAGGTGGAGAGAGAGGGAATCTGTACCTGTACAAGGTTACAATAAAAACTAATTAGCTATGGTTTGTAGTTTTGAGTACATGGCTGTCAAGTGTTCATCTTCCTGACGGCTTATCTATCGTTGCATGCTAGGCGCTGTAGCCGATCCCAGCTGTCATAGGGGAAAAAACGGGGCACGACTTAGGCAGACGACAACCACACACACACACACACAAGCAAAGAACATAGTGCCACACAGGCAGGTTTGAATCCAGAACCCTCTTACAGTGAGGCGACAATGGTAAAAGCCAGACCAGTGCTGGTCTTCAATATGATCCCCGCTCCACCAAATGTTACATTGTGCACAAAGCAGTCAGACAAGTACCATTGGCCAAGCTGCCAGAACTCCCACATGGAGAAGCATGATTCATCACTACAGAGAACTTGTTTCCCAGTGGTTTGGTTGTGCTCAAGTAGCTTTAACCTACTAGTAAAATTAGCCCAGTATCCCCCAGATCCCATAGAATATGAATTAGTACAGTTTTAATGCAGAAAATCGCATCTAGTGGTTTGGAAACCGACAGCAAACAAATCGATAAAGACGAATCTTGGTTATTTGTCCGGATATAGAGCTACGGTAGCCTACAGATAGATTACTCCATCAAAAATCAATGCGTGCCCCACCTGACGCCCATCAGAATCTGCAGATTTATGTAATATGCAGTAATTTTATTATGTTTAATGAAGCAATGCGAGTTATAAGCCCGTCAAAGGACAGCAAATCCAGGTGTCGCAACCTAAAGCCAGAAGTTTCTGTTCAACACAGGTTTTTACGTTTTTTGCAGCCAACTTTAAGCATCAGTTTCATGGCATATATCAAGGTTTAAACAGCAGAAATAGAGCAATTTAATGTCTATGAAGTAGAGTAACAGAAGCAAGCTTTAGTACCCTGAATATTTTATCTGTTTTCACAAGAGAAAACTTGAAAAAGTGCATTTTGGGTCACTGAATAACACTATAAGGGATAGCTGGTTGGTCAACACAACTGTTAACATATAAAAACTCTCCTTTTTTATTTTATTTCCTGGCCATGGTTTCCTCTGTGACAGAAGTCGATGTTAAAAATGCACATTTTGGATTAGGCTTAAGGAACCTTGAGGGCCTCTAGCTCTTAAACGTTTTCAAATCATAAAGATTAAATTTTTCCAGGTGTCATTAAATGCAGTAAAGCTTCTATGTTTTTAATTTCCTCATTAGCCCCCCCCCCCAATCTTTCTGCTGCTCCTCCTTTATCTGTCAGGTGGAGTTGTTTCCTGTGCGAAACATGCACAAAACTTAAGATTAACTTAAAAAACATAAAAGCAACATCTCCAAGTGTGGGCTAAGTGTGTCTGCTTAAGATTGACCGCAATAGAGGACTCCGTTTTTAAAAAAAAAATCTACATTTAATAGTATTAGGCGTTTGAAGCAGTCTTGCAGAGAATGATAACAAAATGCTGGTTCTCAGCTTTACAGAAATAAACCGTTTTTTCCTCAGAGCTCCCACTCATTGTCAGATTTACGCCTCAAGGAACTTCCAGAGCTGGAAGTGTTGGTGGTCCCTAAAGAGCTCTCTACTGGAAAGGCGAAATGTTTTACTGGCATGTAAACAGACACTGCGGGGTGACGCATTGTGAATGTATTTGGGCACCAGATGCACAATTTAGCAGAAGTAAAACAGCGCTTGTTTCATATCAGTAGGGATCCAAATACCAAGCAGGCCACAAAAAAGACTTCGCTCGCCACCAGTGGCGTCCTCTGTCGAGCAGCCGTTTCCTCTTTGTGTGCAGGGGTGAGTCATTTTTTCCCACGCTCAGTAAGCGGACAATAAATGGAGCTGATGTTTGATAAATACTGAGAATTAATCAATTGCCATTAACCCGTTTCCTTGTATTGTGTCTCCATCTTGGAACTTTCACTGGAAATGACATTAAAAAAAGGATGAGAACACAGGGAGGAGAAAAAATAAGAGCTTTAAATGCCCTTCAAGAAGACTAGAAAAATATTCCAGAAGAATACTTAAAGAAATTAAAGGAAAGCTTAACTAATAGAGTTCAGATTGTTTTGAAGAATAAAGGTGGTCATACCAAATATTGTACAAACCTTTATTTATTTTTGGCTTATATGCTTCCATGTATATTTGGACATTTCATTTTCATTTTGCACTTTTCCCGTTATCCTAGAAAAAAATATAGAGAAATAAACTTTAATCTTTACTAATGATTAAACGCTTTTCTGTGCAGTTTTCTTACACTCACTCTAACCTATCATGCCAGATGTCCGCCCCTCTCTGAGCCTGGTTGTGCCGGAGGTTACTTCCTGTTAACAGGGAGTTTTTCCTTCCCACTCTCACTAAGTGCTTGCTCATAGTGGTTTTTTTGTTGTTGTTTTTTTTCTTTTTTGCACAGCAAAGGTGTTTAGAATCACCTTCCAATGTCCTCACTCTGTAAGTAATCTGTCGGTATTGTGGCTGTATTTCCCTTTCTTTGTGGTAGCTGGTTTTTCCCATATCAAATACTCTCAGCATGAGAGAGATGATGAGAGGTTACGCTGTTTTGAGCCACATTAAAGCTTCCCTCATTTCTTAACATTGTTTAGATAAAAGTCAAACTTTCGATTAGTCCCTGTCCTGTAGTGTTAACTTGAACCAGGGAAAAAATAATGTTGTAAATGGCACATAACGAATGCCTTTTTTTTCTGTGACTTTACAGTAGGTTAAAATATTCTCTGATGTTTCGAGAACTGCATAAAATGGCTGTTTTATATATGTAACCAGAAAATTTCCTTAACCTCCTGAGACCCAAACGCTTTCATGGCATGCATTTTTAATTTCTCTTTGCTATTTGGGTTGATTGGGACCTGATGAATGTAAAAACAAAGGATTATCTTTTTACCTGATGTAGTTTCTGCGAAGAGGATATCAGGCCCTTGTAGAGCAAAATTTTATATTGTGGTCAAGACAACCCAAAATGTGATGTCCACATATGTCGACGCCAGGTCCTAGGAGGTTAAATTAAAATCTTTTTCATGGGAGATCTGGGTAAGAAGGCACACCTTAAATACCTTATTTCATCTGTCAAACAGCTGCAAATCCAAAGATAATCCATTTACAATCAAAATGGGATTCAGTTTTATTTATATTGTACGGTAAAGACACTACAATAATACAGAGTAAACCCCAAGAATCGGACAGCCCCCTATGAGCAAGCACTTGGCAACAGTGGGAAGGAAAAACTCCCTTTGAACAGGAAGAAGTCTGCAGCAAGACCAGGCTCAGGGAGGAACAACCATCTGCTGTGATGGTTGGGGGTGAGGGGAGGGAAACGGGACAAAAGACACACTGTGGTGAACCCGTTTATTATCATCACATCTTCTCAGGGAGGACTTTCCCACAATTCCCGTAATTTGTGTGAATACAGCGGCAGATGGGAAGCTTGCAAAATTCTGTAGGTGTTGAGTTAGATGGAAATGAGCTTATCGCTCTTAATCCCACACTTTAAGGGTAGTAGCTCGAGGCTTCGTCAGCGAATTACTGAAACACACATTACTCAAGTCTCTGACTGAAGTGTCTGCCACAATAACCAAGTCACCCTGGAGAACTATTTTCTGTGCCTTACAGCATCTGTTCTAAAAGTGTGGGTCACAGCACAACGCTTCTGTTGTAGTCAAAACTTTCCTGACACAGACAAATGTAGCAAGTGTTGAGAAATGCACACTCACTAAAGATTAGAAACTGTGAACCACCACTAAAAATAACAGTAATCAGAATCAACTACAGCATGCAACTGACAGATGGCAGTCCCTAGGGAAGTCTGTTTTTTTGTGCAGCCCTTGATCACATGTTAAACTCTTTCTTAAAGGAATTACATGCTAAGTTGATGCAGAATTCTTTTAACTGTGGTGTGTGTGTGTTTTGTTTTTTTTAAAGGTGGACTGTATGGAGGAAGCCCTCCAACGTTCCCAGGACAACAGCCAGTCTCCAAACCTGAAAGTCTCCGTATTGCTTGACTACACACGCGGATCACGAGGTTGTTATCGGTTTCTTGCATTTGGTTAGCACAGAACTCCCCACTCATTATCCTGATTGTATTTGTGTGACTTGTGTTTCACGTGCAGGAAAGATTAACTCAAGGACCATGCTGCTACCTCTGCTGCAGCGCTTCACATCTCAGATGAGGGTATCTCTGTACCACACTCCAGATTTGAGGGGGCTGCTGCGCTTGCTAGTCCCCCAGCGCTTCAACGAGACCATCGGAGTCCAGCACATCAAAGTCTACCTGTTTGATGATAGCATCATCATCAGTGGGTATGTTTGTGTCAGTATGACCTTTTTCCACACTCCCTGTGTGTTTGTTTGAATTCAGAGTGAAGTTTAAAATAAAGTTGTCCCACCTCCAGGCAACTGCCTGTTTTCACAAGCTGCAGGTGCTTACTGGATTAGCTTAAAAATGTTTTCAGTGCTTGTTTTGACGTGCAGTATTCGGGGAAAACGGAGCTCAGTGGGAGCTGCTCCATGGCCAGTGGGCACAGTGCTGTGGTTTCCAGTCCATTTCTCTTCAGAACATAAAATGGCACGCTGACCTTAGTCTGTGGCTTAAGGGGAAAGTAAGGAAAGGAGTTTAGCATAGACATATTCTGCCAAATTGGTGAAAGTATTACAGTTATTCAGTACTTTGATGGTACCCTCAAAACTGTAATGCATTAGTGTGCAGGAGGAACAGGGAGGGCAAGGGGTCCTGATGCCCATCCAATGTCGTCCTCCTTTGTGCATCATTGTAAACACAGCCGTATAATGTTAACTAATGTATTAATATGCAGGGTTGCAATACTTTGGAATTTTTTTCACTATTATTTTTCTTTCCTTTAGTTTAGTTTTTCTTAGTAAGTAAAAACTAGATTAAAAAACTAAAGTAGGGGTTTTAATATGCATTTGGTGAGGTCAATAATAATAATATCAGAATCAGTGCTAGAGAACATACTTGCTGGGAGGTGACTCACAGTCATGACCTCCCAGTGTCTGCGCCAAAGCCTCCTCACACTAAACGTGTAATTACGAGCATATGTTAAAAGCAGACAATTTAATTTAAAAAAACATGTTTTTGTTTCAGCTGAGTCATTTTTTTAACCCCGGTTTAATTTTTAGTTTACCAGTTTAACAGCAACCGTGGCTGTGTGCCAATTATGACTGGAAAGCAAGACATGTTGGTTTGGTGCACTGCCTGTCAGTGCCTTACTACCTTCACTTAGGTCATTCCAGGAAAATGAAGTCAGTTACATACTTTAGACAGATAGAATAACAATAACTGAACTTTGTTTTTGTTTGTTAAGACATCTCACACCGATCCTGTTAGTCTTTCAAGGATAAACAGGGCCCTAGCTCAACAGAGAGGAACCAGTTTTGTATAAACATAACCACAGCAAAGAACAAATTTTAAATTGTATATTTAAGCACTTGGTTACTACCAGCCTGTTTGCAAAAAACCCCTCAAAAAACCCATAATTGCTCAATTTTTATTTTTTTTTTTTAAGCTGAATCAAGGAAAAAGCCAAAGATAAACAGAGGGTGACAGGTACTGACTTTTAAGCTCGTTACAATGGTACAAACTGAATTGTTGCCTTATATATTATACCTCCATGTATGTTCTACTAGATCACTCTGCTGTTTTCCTATTAAAATATAAAGAAATGGGTGGTGGCCTAAAGCCTTTGCACAGTGCTATATGTACAGTGCACTCATTTTTTGTTGTTGTTAAGTACAAAAATGAATCATGTGTGTGGGTTAACACAGATGTCTTAGCTTTATAATCTGCTGCACCAGTTTAACGTTGGGTAAACAAGACAAGTAGCCGCATATGACAGGGCTCCTTTATAGCTACGTTTTGTTACCAAGGCTCATCTTTTGTCTGGGATGCACTCTGTCAGGATAAGTTTGTAATGTAGTCATATTTCAGTACATGCAGATTCAACTTACGGCTGTGAAATGGAGAATCAACATCGCTGGGATTTTGGAAACATAACATTAAAACAAACAAAGGATACGTGAAGCGCCGTTCTTTACTTCCACCATGTAAACCGACTAAAACATATTTACAGCTGCGACTGTTGCGTTTTGTTACCACGCAGGTGAATCTTGTGTTTCATGTTAATTAATGCTGGTCTTTTTTAAAATAATTTAAGTCGTTATGACCTGTTGATTTCAGACACATTTCGAGGTGTTTGGCATTTATTTGATAGAAGTTTCTCACTTCTTTAAAACAAGAATCCTTGCCCCTTTGAAGATATTTCCACTTAAATCCTGAGGAATGTTTCCAAGTATTAGTCTCTGTTGACGAGTCTTGACCCCGAGGGCCTGACTCTTTCTAGGCACCTCATATTGATGTGATATAAGATGTTTTGGCAGTTTCATATATTTGAACCCGCCCTTCTCCTATCTCCTGTCTGTCGTGTGTGATCTTGTTCAGAGTCCCTAAAGTTTTACTGGAAATAGGAAGATGCGTTTCCCATTTCACAATAAATATGCAGAAAATTTCCAATAAAAGTATGGAGGACGTTGGCACTGCGCCAGTGTCGGTGCATTAAAGAAGTCGTGACATTCTTTGTGTTCATTCTAACAAGCGATCGGTTCATTTCCTCCTTGGCAGCAAAGCACGTTTCACAAGACGCTCCTGTAGGTTAAGTTGGGCCCACGAAAAACTTTTACTGACGATTAACGACATGTTGGGCTGTCACTATTAATCCTGTGTTAATAACTCATAAAGCCGCACCGGTAATGTTGCATCCTTTAATCAGAACTGGGAGATGTTGTGAATAAGCAGCTGTGTGACTCAGCTCAACTTACAAACCGTTGGCTAAAAGCATGGGTGGAGAGTGCTAAAATGGCTTTGTGATTGGCTGCTCCAAAGCCTGGTACAGAATAATCGAGGATTATTTTGAACTGGGTATCATATGAAATGAATTGGATCCCCGTTAAGGCTGTGTCTGCCACCTCTTTTTAAAAAAGCTAAAGCTAAAAAGAATACGCAGCTTTAGAGGCTTTTGTCTCAGTTTCCTTTCGTGAGTACATGATAATTGATGTGTTGATTTCACTTGAATGGCACCACCCTTCCTCTTGAATAAATACAGTTTCAGAAAAATATTCATATGACCAAATTTCAATAAGATAAGATCCCCTACCCCTGCACTAGCTTCCTTATTCCTCTTTCTCTACTCTTACTTTTCCCGGATCTTGTGTTTCAGGGCCAACCTGAGCGACTCGTATTTCACCAACAGACAGGACCGGTACGTGCTGCTGGAGAACTGCAGGGAGGTCGCCGACTTCTTCTCCGACCTGGTGGAGGCCGTGGGAGACGTCTCCCTGCAGCTCCAGCCCGACGACTCGGTCACCATGCTCGAGGGCATGGTGCACCCGTACAAAGGTAGAAACCGAACACTCCTGTATCCCTGGCCTGTGCACAAAGACAGATGTTTACCCTCAGCATGTTTTGACAGCATGTGACACTCCATGCTCACTTGCAGCCAGTTTTCAACTCCAGGAGTTTGCTAATGGAGCTTGAAAGCTTAGACAAGCCAGATGCAGGCCAGGGAGGAGAGCTCTGTGAGAGTACAGTGAGGAAGATGTAGAGCGAGCTCTTGCGGTTGGCTAGCCATGGAGCCGGATGTGAAACTGTCAGGGTTTTGTCCACACGCACATGCACACGCACACATATTTGTACAGTGTGTCCGTAACTGGAGTGCAGGCTGCCAGGATGTTCGTTTGAGGGATGAATGACATCATGTCTGCAGGACTGGACCGCCATGGAAACGAACACCAGGAATAGAGTTGTGATGTCACAGTGTTGCTGGAAGAAGATATGAAATGGGAACTGATACACACACATAATTAATTCACAAACACGCACGTGGGGGCGCGCTCGCACACACACAGACACTGGAGAAATTCTAGTGAAAGACATTTGTGAAGATGACTGATGAGATTTGTTATTGATTGTAAGAATGGCGTTAAAAGAAAAAGTGCGTTTGTCTGCAGGCAGAAGGTGATAACTGATGATTTAAAGACTGTTTAAAGGCTCACGTCATGCAGGTTGCTCACCTGTAGGGTCATCTGTCCTAACACAAGGATGAGCAACATGCATTTGGTGTTATCAGAGGAATGGTACAAACAGACTGCAGGAGCTTTCCAGCTAATGTGTTCACACGAGTGTGGTTGTTGATATAAGGAACTATTACATTAATTTCCTGCTCCATAATTTTATCCTTGTACTAGAGTAACTTTGCATGATTCACAGTTCAAAATACTCACACTGAGTGCTGCCCCTCAGTTCATCCTCTATCTGAAACAAGCTCTCCTCTCTTTAAGCCAGCTCTCTTCTGATTGGCTGTGCATAAATGGTTTTAAATAGCAGGTTCTTCTTCAGTGCCAGCTGTGTGCCTGTGACTTTTAGCTACTTTTTCTGCGAGGTGCAGCCATACATCCATCCTTTTTCTACCCGCGTCAGGGGAGTAGCAGCCTAAGCAAAGACCTCGAGACCTCCTCCAGCTCATCCAGGGGAACTCAGAGGAGTTCCCAGGCCAGCCGACAGGCATAACCTCTCTAATATGTCCCAGGTCTACCTGGGGGCTTCCGGGGACATGCTTAGGACACCTTGTCCAAGAGGCATCTCAGTCAGATCCTCAAGCCTCCTTAAATGGCTCCTTTATTCTGAGTACCTCCCAAATATATACATAAATAAATAAATAAATTTATAAACTAAATTAAATCTGCAAATTCTCTGATATAAACAATCTCCCTGTAAAATAATAAAAATGATCATACAAATAGTACAATAAAAAAAAAATAGTATAAAACCGTAAGAACAATGTGAACATGGTCCAAATGGATCATTAAAAAAAGCTCAGGTTTTGCAGTGTTATGGTTGCAGTGCAAGCTTTTAGAGAGGAAGTGCAAAGCTTCAGTGTTTGGACACGTTGTGTCATTTTGCTCTGTGAACTGGCCCACGACCTCAGTCCTCCCCTGATGTCCTAAAATGGAATGCAGCCCTCAAAATTAAAAAAGTGTCAGCGTTAAGCTAACGACTCCGTAGGCAAGAGACTGAAATGAGTGCTGTGATTTAACTCAGTTTTAATGAAATCTATTTCAGTGTCTCATATCGGAGAGCTGGAAAGATGTAGGCGAGTTCAAATGTTCTTTTAGGTGGAAGTCTGTTTGGAGTTCCATGCCTGTGCTGTAAATTTAATGCAGGAAACCTAAATGGTATAAAAGATGGACTTTCGAGTGCGAAAAGGGAAGTGACTTAAATTTGAATTTTTTTTTAAATGATCACTGAGTGGCGATCATTTTGGTTGCAGAAAGGTTTTACAGGAAAACAACCCTCGGCCCGATCTTGGCAAACAGAGATCGTCACAAACCGATGGGTGATGTCTCCAATGTTTTGTGCCGTTCATGACTGTGAATCCATTTTAAAAGGCTGGGATTGCTGATAATGTGGCGTAGCTGGAAGCTCTGCCTACTCGATTTTGAATACTTAGCATGAATATAGCCATCATTTTTAACTCCTTCCGCACTGTTTATTTAAACCAGGGGCCAGAATTGGCCTGGCAAAAACAACAGATGTGTTTTTTAGATTGTGTCCACAGTAAAATATATAAATAAATAAAATAGCAGCTTTTCTCTGAGTTAACAAAAAGTTTCTAAATTTATAATTCAGTCTGGGCAATGAGCTGACAGAACCTTTTCTGTAATTTTAAGTATTTATTATTTACAATTTAAGCCTAAAGAGTCGTGCTGACAGATTTCTTTCATTAATTACAGCAGCACTTCTTTATCGTGCAGAAAAACTGAGATGCACTCCTGAAATTTAAGGAGCTTGGAAAGAAAGTGACTGGACATTTCACCTATCCTTTGAGAAGCTTCTTCAGTTCCAAAACCAAATGCGGGAGAATCCCAGGTATTTAATCCCTAGTGGGAGTTGTCCCTTAAGGGAGTTGTTGACCCTCTATTAATCATGTGCCTCACGACATGAGCCAAGGTGTGACAAAAGGCGTGGGCCGTTATGAGCAGAGGTTTCAGCTGAAACCATTGTGAGGCCTTGCTTCACCCTATCAAGTGACCTACTGAGATCACCTGACGTGAGTGGGGGTTGAGGCGTCTGGGAAGGGATCTTAAAAGTATGTGGCAGAAAGTTGTTGTCGTAAGCAACCTCATCTGTTCAAAGATGATCGTTCACAGTGGACATAGATGGCTTCTTTTACTCCTTTCTTTAATCCATCTGTAATCTTACGGGACAACTCCCACTCGGGCTTAAATACAAAGAAGCTTCTCGGATGTGAGGTGAAACATCTTCACAAAACTTTTAAAAAGTCCATTCGCTTTCTTTCTAAGCTTCTTAGACTGTCATGACCTGGATAACTGAGAACCTACACAGACTTACTCATGATATCGCACTTCTTTTTCTTGCATTGAGGATTTGCAGGGATTAAATGTGCAGTTAAACTACTTTACATTGACAGAAAAGGGATTTTCACCTTTCTGGCCCACTTTAAGACAAAGCTGTATGTGACCCATGATGTAAAGTGAGTTTGACATCCCCGATCACACCTTAAGCATTTTTTAAATGTTATTCGTGAAAAATTGTCATTCAGAAAGGTTGTTGGTGTATCACAGTGTGACTGTATAACTGACTCTATTCCCCTACAACATGAGTACCACGACCACACGACTGAGAACACTGTGACCCAGAGATCAGGCTGACCCGTCTCCCACTTGCAGTCCTCTAGCTCCACACTCACTCCTACTGTATCTCTATGGCAACTAGGCAACCGGCAAGAGTTCTCGGCAGTGGCGAGGAAGCGGATTATGGAGGTTGTAAACTCGGCCCATATTAGGCAGCGGCTTCTGAACCAGTCGGAGGACTCTGAGGATGAGGGGATGAGCGAGGTGGAGGAGGACACCTGGGTGTTCCCCCTGGTGCAGATGAAACCTCTTGGCATCAGAGTGGACGAGCAGGTCACACAGGTGAGCCTCAACACCTCATCTGATCTGTACATCTGTAGTTAAAATGAACTTTTTGCTTTTTACGGTTTCAATTCTTCAGGGATTGAAGCCATTTTTGGTTATCGCGTGGTCTGAAATAAAATAAATAAATGCAGATTTTTGTCATTGTAATTACCCGACTCATTGCTTGTTTCTGTAAACGGTGATATATTTAGACACCACCCAAAGGGCCATTGTGAGCGTGGATGAACCCTCCACTCATTACATGTTTTGTGCAGATGACTAATAAAATGATACATGACTACTAAACCATAAATCAAGGATAATTATTTGTTTCATAGTCACATATTCTGGGAATAAATATAATAAAATGATTGCTAGCGCAATATACTGTAATTCAGCCACCAATAAATGTAAGTAATAATAAAGTCAGAGCTGAACAATAAGGAAACTCTTATCAGGTTCCTGACATTATGAATCCATTACCAGCAATAAAAATGAATTTCATTCTACGAATAATTAGAGAAATCATTGTCTGTCAGCCCGATACACTTCAGGCGTAATGGGTGTATTGATGGAAAGCTGAGAAAGTGCAGTGTTGAATTTGAGGTTGTTTGGATGAGCGGTTTGCATATTTTCAGTACAAAGTTTTTATGGTAGGTTATAAAATAAAATATGCACTACTGTGCAAAAGTCTCGAGCCACTCCTCATGTCGTGATATCTATATTGCCAGAAATATTCACTCATCCATCCAAATCAAATCACATGACTGCGCACCAGTGCACCAACCAAAGGTCATTAAAGAAATGGATCAGTGAGTTTGTGCAGGCCAGTCAACTTCTTCCACACCAGAGTCCTGAACTCACCCTGGCAGAACTCCTTTCAGGGACTGCGAGGCAACGTCAGTGTCAGACCTCTTAAACTCCTAAACTTTGTGGAAAGCCTTCCCTGAAGAATTGAATCTGTTAGTTAACTATTGTATTATTATTGTTTGTAGAGTAAACAAAGGAAATGAAATGATAACCAGGTTTTTGTGTCATTAACAGACTGTCTATGTAGTCAGCTGAATAAAATGATGGAAAATTGGGGTTTTTCTTCACTTCCTTTCTCTCGTCATCCCTCCAGCGTCTGCTGACCGATGCCGGACCCGAGTCTACTGTGTTTCTCACATCGGGTTACTTCAATCTGACCCGGGCGTACATGCGGCTGGTGCTCAAGGCTGGAGCCAGTTACCGTATCCTCACCGCCTCCCCCGAGGTCAACGGGTTCTTTGGGGCCAAGGGCATCGCTGGAGCAATCCCTGCAGCGTACACTCACATCGCCAGGCAGTTTTACAAACGGGTGTGCCAGGGGGGCCAGCAGGAGAGGGTACACCTGCATGAGTACCACCGACCAGAGTGGACCTTCCACGCTAAAGGTGAGCGACACTAAACTACATATACTTTATGCAGTAATGTGCGAAAGTCTTAAGCCAAAGAACCTAATTGGGTCCTTGCCAAATAGTTTGTTCTTGGTTGCCTTTTTATGTTTGAATGATTCATAAGTCAGTATTAAGTGACTTAACTTAATTCCTGGGATAACAAAAGGCTTTCAGAAGCCTGGAGAACCGTTGCTCAAGAGCACTTTAAAAATCCCAAGAAAGTCTGGAAGTCTTGGAAGAAACATTTCAAGAAATGAGGGTGGATCGAGATTTGTGGACAGTAATGTAGCCTCCTCCAAACTCAGCTGTGCCATTTGTTGATGATCCAGCCATTCACACACACACATCTGCTAATTAGTGCTTGAGTGCCGCAATATTAGAATTTCAAATTATTATTATTATTTTTTTAGATGGGCTGTACGTCAATGCAGGCCCTATTTATCTGTTAAATCCATGAAACCTGATTCACTCCGGTGCTGAAATTGGACAGACTCCTTGTTCAAGTGTTCATTGAAGGAAGTGCAGACTTTTATTAGTCCCGAAAAAGGAGCAAACTTAACATCCTGAAGAGATCGTTCCACTTTTTTTCATTGTTATAAAAGGACAGATCAAGTGCATCTCAAATGTTTGATTGCATTATGAGAACATGCCAGAGTTTGGACTACATTCAGCCTGTTTTTCTCCTTTTATTTTCCACTAATATGTCCAAAATAAATGTATTTATCCCTTGACAAATGGAAAGAACTGTTCAGTATGATTGCAATTCCCCTCCCCCCCCCTCTCTCACATGCAAAAAAATACCCGCGAATCAACATCTGATGAGATTTTGAGATTTTGCGAGTTAAGCCAGGACTGGACGTGTAGATGAGCTGTATTTGTCTCAGTGAAAATAATAAAACACATTACTCTCGCTGTTCTGCCTCCTCTGCTGTTCTTCTTGTGGTCGCAGCGGTATGTAGCGTGAGAGACGAGGGCTTGTACAGTCACTGTGTTGTAGCCTCGGGACGAGGATGCACACTCACTCTCTCTCATATTTTGGGGTTTTGGATCTGCTCTGGGGATTTCTGCATGTGCTTCCTTTTAGTTGTGGTTTAGGCCGGCAGAAATCTCTGCTGGAAACGGCTCTCTGAAGCATTACCTCCTCGCTAGCTCACTCCTTTTCTCCTCTCTCACAGGTCTGTGGTATTACCTCCAGGGGCAGGATCGGCCTTGCCTCACTCTAATTGGCTCCCCTAATTTCGGTTACCGCTCGGTTCACCGTGACCTGGAGGCCCAGATTGCCATAGTAACGGAGAATGAGGAGCTGCAGAGCCAGCTGCAGGAGGTCGGCTCTTTATTTTCCGCAAACCACAGCCAGACATGATGATGAATGAATGTGTAAGTCTGCGTAACTGAACGAACACCTGCGTTTTAAACTCCCAGGAGCAGGAGATGTTGTACCGGCGCTCCACTGAAGTGTCCACCTCTACGTTCGAGCGGCCCGACCGCCACGTTAAACTGTGGGTGAAACTGGTCACGCCACTCATCAAGAACTTCTTCTGAGGTGCAGCCACACACGTGCACAACTCACTACACATGAAAACTCATTAAAATTTAGTTTTGAGTTCATTAAAAGGATGATTTCACTTTATTGCAGCTTAATTTTCATTTTTGTGGGAGACAAAAAAAAGAGTCCAATGTGGCTGTGAGAAAACAGGGTAGAGTAAAATATAAATAATAAAAATTTATTGTGGGTGTTAGTCAATATCAAGGAGAGTACTGATGAAAACACATGTTGCTGTCCTTGAAGCCCTTTGTGGGCCAAAAGAAAGTAAGAAAAGGGGCTATTGTGCTCCAAAACACTCTTTTAGGATTGACTATTTTTAGCCCTCTCCAAAAGGTTTATGTAATATGTCACAAAAATCTGCTTTATTAGAGTCATACGGCTAATTATTTTGGGGTTTCTCACTACTCTCTATAAACTTGTTTGCTGTTTTTTGCTGGTGGAGGCCGAAAATGGAGCTAAAAGAGAGGGAATACTGGACTTAAATTCAGCGTTTATAGAGGAAGTTGGCTCCGAATGACTCATCTGAAAGTTCAGATTGTCAAATAAAAGCTTTTAGAAGCTGATAATTTTATACAAACCTTAAACATTAAAGTGGGCAATCTAGTATATTGATCGAAACCACAATCTGTAGTGGTGAAAAAGGTAAGCAAAGCTGTCGATTTACTGGGTGATCTACGCTCCTGCCCCTCGCCTGTGGCCCCGAGCTCTGGGCAGTGACTGAAAGAGTGAAACTGCTCTGAAGGGTTGGTGTGCCTTAGAGGTTGAAGAGCAAAGACTAAGATGGCTTTAGGGAGCCTCCTAGATGATGTGCTTACAGCATGTCCTACCATGAGGAGGCCCCGGGGCAGACCCACAACATGCTGGAGAGAGTATATCTCTCCTGGCTTGGGAACGCCGTTGTGTCCCCCAAGGTAGCCAGGGAGAAGGAGGTCTGCATGTCTCTGCTTGGATTGATTCCTCTGTGACATGGATACACGGAAGGAAGGAAGATGATGTCGAAGACTTGGAAATAAACCTCTGTAAATGTTAGAGCTTCAAGCTGATCACTTGATGCGTGATGCTCCACTTCTGGCCTGCGTGACAAATTAACCCTGTCACAGGTTAATGTCACAGGTTGCTTCCTGATCCCTGACCACAGACCTGTAATGTCAGGCCTGAGACCTCTCACTGAGCCTGCAGAGGAAAGCTGCAGCAGCTGAGACGGGCTCTAATGTAACTTCCTGTTCCTGAACGACTTCAAACGCATTCTTCTTGAAGACTCGCTGGGAAAAAAACCTCCGCAAACTTTCATTTTCAAAAAAAGTCCTCAGGCAAAACAAGTTGAGTGTTATCTAAACGGTCATGCTTACAACCTGTCTGGTTGGCTAACTGCTTTTTGTTGTTGTTTTGATGAGTTAACAGAGGTTATTAGATCTGTGTGCCTCGTTAACTAGCAGCGCACCTCGGGTTTGACTTCATGCTGTCATCTGCAATAACAGCGATTACCAAAGCTCATTTTGAGCCTTATATATTTTTCTGCACGCAGACTAAACAGTCTTACATAATCCATATGGTGTCAGTTATAATACATTTGCACACTGGCAAATGCAAGTATTAAATATGATGATGTTTTTGGGCGATGCATCTAGTTTCCTAAAATGTTTTTACTTTTTTTGCCCACAGTAATTGTTTTATGTGACAAACTCAAAGATATTTAGCTCACCGTCTTTTCTAACAGAACAAAGGAGGTGTTTGCATTTGAGGAATGGGGAAGCAGAAAGGATGACTTTGTTTGCCTGGAAAAATGACGGTTAAGTACTAAAATATACCAACTTTTGGAACATGTGTAAAAATTCAACATCAGTTTTATCGGGTTATTAAAGACAACAGAATATTTCCTCGTAGCTGATTTACTTTCTACACCATCTCCAGTATTTTTATTTAGTTTGTCTGCAAATAAAGAGTAGACAAAATATAGCCCCAAACATTATTTACAGACACACACGCACAGAGTAAAACAGGCTGCGGCTTCTTCGAAATGCCTGCAGTCATTGCGGTGACTCCCAAATCGCAGGTCCCGTCCTCGCCTTCCCAGCAGCCCAAATCACCAAAGTGAGAGTAGGGACAGCGTGTCGGCTGATTCACCGCTGAGTGAGTCATCGTGGTGTTATGGTGATGATTTGATACTGAGGTCTGGGTAACCGTGAATCCTGTCAGGACTTGGCGAGAGGTGAACTCGCTTAAGGTTCAGCAGCTCAAAAATCCCTGAGTGAACAGGCTGCTTCTGCTTAGCAGAAACATTCAGGGGGACGGTTCAAGTTGTGGTCGCATCATAAACTGAAGATCAGCCAGGAGGGAAGCCTGTCAAGATTGCAGCTAAAGATTGATGGAAAGACGGTCAGCATTTTTTTCTTTTCTCTTTTCTGAGAACAGGAAGTGTTGCAGACTGGATACTGACGGTAAATGGGTGGTGTCTTATCACTACCTGAATAGAGTGGTGAAAAAAAAAAAATGCTGATTGATGTGCCGCCAGAGGGAAATGGACTAAAATAGGTCGTCTTTCATTCTCAAACAATGATGTGTGTGAGAATGTATTCAGGCCTATTGTTGGAGAAACAGTGGAGAGGGAAAAAAATAGAAAAAAAAGTTGTAAGTCCTCGAGTTACCGACTCTGTGACGCACGCTCAGGTCTGCGAGACTCATCAATGACTCCAGGCTCAAAGTTGGCCTCAACTCTTACATCATATTTAGATAAGAGAAAAGACTCACTGGTGTCTGTGAGCTAAAAATGCAAACAGCTGTGCGATTTGATCTTAATCTCTGTGAATAAGTCTGACCCACTTCAAGAAAGAAAAAGCTCTCACACGCACATTAAAACTCACACTTTTTACAGATTTGACATCTGCTATATGTCAGCTGTTTCAAACATCAGCCTCGAGCTAGTCAGGCCTCTTTTCCTGTGAAGGCCCAACACTGTGAGTGCCGCCTTGAAGAAACTTCCTTTAAAACAAAATAAACATTTAAGAATGAGTTCTGATTGAGCGTCACCAAAAATCTTTTTCTTTAGAAGTATTCAAACAGTGAGGCTGGTCGTGCTCTTTACTTTTATTTGTCAGTAAAAGTAAGCAATGAATGGATCCTGATATTAGTAGTTTTGTGTTTAGCCTGTGTCCCGTGAATCTCATTTCTCTGTAGTTGCAAAAAAAAGAGAAAAAGTAAAGCACTTAAACCACAAAATTACAGGATTCCTGATTAAAATATACACAGCAGACCCTGAAAGTAAAATAATGGAGTCAAATTTAACATAGTTGCTTTTTTTTTAGGTGTTTAAATTTGAGATTAATCATTTAATCTATACATTTATACAAGCTGGTACGGGTCAGTGCCATTGCAGTGGTTTCGAAAGGTAGTTGGCAGGCAACGTGATGGCGTCATACGCCG